ATGAGAATTTATTGAAAGTATACGTATGCTCGCCAATTACTCTTCGGATTTGGCAATTTAGCTTCCTTTTAAAGACTAAAACGGAAGCAAACATAATAACCTTCAGGGGCACAACATTCCTCGCTTCGACCAGTCTATAACAAAAGAACTTTCATGTGTCCGGCTTGGTCCATTTTTAATTTACTACCATCCATTGCGTATGCCGCACTTTCCTCAACTCAACCACTGTGCTAAATTCCCGTCCATTTATTACAGTGTCTCTGTAAGCTACCATGTTACTATGATTCGCATTCGCCTTTCTAATTTCTTTCACTGCCTGTACTTTACACTTTGCCTCTAAATTTGTTCGGTTTCATTTTTGCTGATATTTGGATAACAGAGGAGATGTTTTTTATGCCTTCATTCGGGACTCCACTTAGTTTGCAGGTCTTCTCAAAAGGCGAGGGAGGTATATAATGTCTGGCGTTTCCTGTGTTACTTCTGTACCCGATCGTCCATCTTCACCGCGGTACGCAACGTCGGTCACATTTATCGTGGACTGGGTCTGGGAGAGGCTGCAGCTCAGGTCCACCTCCAGGAACATCGAAGAGACAACACAGAAGTACCGTAGGTGGCAAGCAGGTGACTACCTTGCCCGCCCACTTAGTTACATATTTGTGTCTTAAGAATGCGTACAAATTCCTATTTTTTCTGCAATTCGACATAAGTTCATTCATGAAGAATCCTACAAACTATATTATTAATGCTTTTTATAAACTTAAATACGTGGTTTAAAGTTATTGCACAACGTGTTAAGGGCTAGATGACGTCTCCATTATAACGGAGATATATTTACTGTCTTCTTAAGACACAATTTGTGCAAAATGTAGTTTGGAGACTTTTGGAGCAAGTGGGGCCCAAATTATTCAGCAATCCAAAAGCGTTAATAAAAAATAAAGATGCCCTTTCTTAAAATATGAAATTTGACGACGTGTGGGATACGATGTGGTCCAAGCAGATAATGGACGAGAGAACGCATCCCAACATGTAAAAGTTAGTTGATAGGATAAGGCGTGGAAGGCCTGAGTGTTATGAATGATTTAATAATGTTAGAAGAAGTGGGATTTGAGTAACTTGCAAATGACTCTCAGAAAAGTGCAGTCCAGCCATGAATGGGCCGGAGTCCAGAGGCGCTGTCCGGCAAGTAGATCACCGGGGTCCGGAGCTCTACAACAGGCAGTAGGTTGCCTGTTTCGGGAGTGTCTGAGAATAAGCAGTCGCCACCTTATGGTCCGTTTGGGACTTCGCCTAGGGAGGTGGTTGGCCAGTTGGCCAGACAGATCCGTGACCTTAATCGGAGGCTGAACCGTCTAGCGTGCACGGACCGGTTGGCAAGAAAGCTAGGCACTCGGTTCATGCCCACAGGCATGTGAACAAAGCATGGCTTAGAATAAGAGGTCGCTACAGACGTAACATGCTAGGACATTATTAGAATAAATACTAGTATAGTGCACATTTTGTATGATTTATATTTCAACTGTTAGGAACACTGAAAAAAATCAGCTTCATTCATACCACATAGCTGGCCATATTTTAAAAGGTGCACTTTTTGAAAGCGGTCAGAAAGATGCGCGTTCGAGTGCTAGCATTATCTTGGGACTACGTTATCTCTCAATCTGTGTTTCAACCCTGCAAATGTAATTCCTTATTCGAAACGGAGGACCAAATGTGGTTTTTCGAGTCAAACTACGTAAGGACGTTTTTATACAGTATTTCCTCCCCCGCAGTAAAGACAGCCTAAAGCTGCATTTCAATGTGATACGTATTTCCGCAGGCTAACTTGATCACTAGCACTAACCTCACCCACATTTCTTTACTGTCCGTATCCAAACAAAAACACCAATGCCTTCTCTAAATACCATCAGAACTTCACTAGAATTTGATATAACTAAACCGGGAATACAGAAAGGGAGTAGCTATCACTGTGCCCTACCACATATGCACTATTGTTCCAACTGTGCCCTACCCAGCCCTAGGCGTTGCGGCATCCGTGTTGTTCGAACCGTGGGCTGTTAGCAAAACACTGGACGCTGTAATAACCACTCCACAAGCTCGTTACTTTGCTTGTTCTGATCGGAAATATTAACTATAGTATAGACAGAACTCGGGCCCGCCTCGCCAGTAGCCACTCAAATGCTAGAATATGAGTGGCAGAAAGATATTAACGACGAAGACAGGGTAAACTTGTGAACCGCCATCAGCTACTCATGCCGAACCCTAGGTGATGCACCACTCGCGTCTCAAACCCGCGACCTGTTGACCGAAAGGAGGCAATTGGGGCACTGGCTTGTTATCCAGTCAGTTGCGATCGGGTATTGTAGCATCAGTTTAAGGCCTACTAGGCTATATGCAAAATAATATCTCCGATAAAGATGAAGAATAAGAAGAAGAAGAAGAGAATCTTGCTTTATCTACGAAAAATCATCATAAATTTTCAGCGAAAAAATGGCTCCATTCTCGGAGGTTAAGTAATGAGCCATGTTAAAACGTAAAAGGTCATGTAATACTCACAAGTCAAGTTTTACACGGTATCTACGTCTACTATGGAGACAGATAAGATTTCATCTTCTCAATTTCCGCTTCTTAACACGTGAGGTAGCGTGCTAGGAATGGGAGTGCCGAGTGATGATATGCTGATGTGCGGCAAGATATATGATGGAAGCCTCGACGCATGGGACGGGAAGACTCCGCATTCACTAGTTCAGAGTGGAGAGGCTGGGTGACCTCATTAAGAATACGATCAACAAATTGATTGACCGTTTTAAAGTGGCGTTGTACTATAATGTCAGCTAAACAAATATAATGGAACATGGAAAGACCCGAACAAAACTCAGGATTCCCCAACTCCTGAGGCTCAAACCTAGGATCCAAGGTACAGTCGGTATGAATTATATCCGCAGCGCAATCGGGGAGCACCCCTCCATCATTGTATTTAAATGTTCAATCACAATCAATAGGACAAATGGTAAGATAACTTCAATTCTAGGCACAAAGTTACAAGTTCGCGCGTAGGGGCCCGCAGAAATGGTGCTTTCTGTCTCTATTTCTTTGTCGGTAAAGTGATTGTGCGCAAGTCCTTTAAATACCTCAAGAAACAGCACTACTCTAAACCCAGTTGAAGTAGTCGTCGTTGCCACTCCGTCTGAGAAATTAATCCGTACGGCAGCAAAACCGGCCACTTTTCACTGATCTGCGACGGCAATGTGGTGCCTCTCAAAAGTGTTACCGATCACACATGTGTTAAGGAAAACTGTATGCATGATCACATAAAACTATAGTGTCCAGATAAAAAAGGAATCTACCTACAATCAGCGAGAAGGCAATTGATGTGCAAATGAATAAAAACAGTCAGAAAACGCTGGTAGAAAACTCAACTGGACTTGCGGTTTGTGACCGGGAACGAAAGTCGGGAGAATAGATGGGTTTACCAAGAGTCGACGGCCACCAAGGAAATGACAAGCCTCCAGAACGCCACCCTGCAACGTTTTTTCATCAGTGAAGGTAACGAACCCGAAGCCTCGAGATCTGCCCGTTGCCTTATCGGTTATTATCTTGGCCCTCTGGATTGTGCCAAATTTGGAGAAGTAAGCCAAGAGATCGTCTTCGGTTGTGTCGGGTTTAAAATTATTGACAAAAATGGTTTTCTTGCTAGTGACGACATTTGCAGTTTTGGCGTCCTGGCTAGCAGATCTGTGAAGTAAATAAAGGGTTAAATTATAGGCAGAAAAGCACTTAGTGCATTTAAATTAGCGATTTTTTAAGAAATAAGTGGCCACTACGGTTTTCCAAGTATAAAGTACAGTGTAATCTTCCCATAGTGAAGAAATTCCTAAAGTACATGTCCTTTTTAATCAGGACAGTGACTCGATTTTTTGGGATGCGTTTGCGTTCTAGCAGCCGAAAGTTACCTCCTGGTACTAGCTTTCAAGCCCGTTCATCAAATGTGATCACGCCCAAATGAAAATGTATAACGTTTATAGTGCATAGTTCACATTAGACAAAACGGGTGAAGATTATCACATAGCTAGACAGTGGGCAGCACACGTGGGATGCACACAGAGCCAACCATCGTTAAAATTATTATTTATGGAAGTTGACTATGTGGCGGTTTGTGTAACATTTTCTGCATGTTGCGGGAATTAAAAGTGGAACCCGAATCCAGTAAGTCGTGGGCGGATCTAACCTCCTGGGACATAACTTAAAAATACATTAGGACTTCAACGCATGTTGAGTAAAATATCATGTTGATTTGTTGTCATTTATTTTTTAATAACCCAACGGGCAGCAATAGAGTTTGCTGTGATCCTAAGCATTGGATCAGATCAAAAAGGCCAAGTCCCGTTTTGGTGGAGAGCGGGGGGCGTGATACCGCTGGGAGGACTGCATTCTATAGAGCAGTGTGTTTGATTGTAAAGGACCTCTTCAGTGTTGCCGGCTTTGGGCCTGTGCGTCTATATTTGCGGTAGGTTTGATGAGGAAAGGTCATGCGTATCAACAAAGTAATCCTAAACCCCAGAAGTGGGTTTTAGGGGATCGTGTTCAGATAGTGTATCAATTTAGCAATTTTGAGTTGGTGCTTGCACTGTTTGTAGGTGTCTGGGATAGGCTGCCCCGAATGTGCATGTGTGTATGCTCCGGTCGCCCGAGAGGGGTGGTCCCCTACTTCCAAGTACAACTAAGGTGCCCGAGATGGAAGTCCCATACGCACTTGAGGCGCTTGCTTTGCGTCTTGTCATGACAGAACTAGTAAGCAGTAATAAAGTTGCCTGCTGCACACGTTAACTAGAGTCCTTTGCCTAGGATGTCAGTGCATCAAACTGCCTCAATATGTGGCCGTCTTGACTGTAAGCGCCCTTGTTGCACGGCAAGAAGGACGAAACTGCGGGGGCTAGATGAAATGAAATCTGTAGAACCTTTTCTCGCTGCAGGCCTGTGCGCTAAAACGCACCTTTGGCCGTCCGAATCACAGGCCTACTTTAAACAACTGTAGACGGTAATGTTGAATGTAGGAGCCCGAACACAACCACTATAATCGACTTGATACAACGGACCATATTTTACCATTCAAATAATACTTAAGTAGAAGCTTCTGTTTAGTATTTTATTCAGTTATACTAGTATGGAATTCAGATGTTTTTGGTCTTTAGGCCTCTTAATAAATGTTAACTGAAACGGTTATCATATCACTACTGCCAGGCATTATTCACAAATGAATATCACGATTTTGATATTTGAGGAAACTGATGTCCGGGCAGTCGATACGGAAAGTACATATATGCTCTACTGCCTCATTAATTACAAGGACTATCTGAAAGTCAAACTGGCCCCTTATCACAAATGACAGAGCACAAAGGATTGTGCCTTGAGGCAGCTACATCACATAGGTTCTCACAGAAACTGAAATCAATAAAACTTTAAAGGGGAATCTTTTGAGAAGATACATGCTAGCTTTAACTGAGAAGGACACACAGTTGCAAAGGATAAAATTTTTTTGTGACAACTTAACTGGACTTTCGGCTGCCCACTGTTACCATATCCAGGCGGCATTTCCGGAAGGACTTTTATGCGATAGCCATCGAGGAAGTGGCTGATCTCTAGAACTCCACCGTCTTCAATTGCCCCTCTGTCGGCGAAAGTAACATGTCCGTATCCCAAGCACTGGCCCGTGTTATTATCAATTATAACCCTAGCACTTTTGACAGTTCCATATTTGGAGAAGTAGTCTATAAGATCGTTTTCAGTGGCATTTGGTTTCAAATCGGTGACATAAATAATTGAGTTGTTAGAGGTGGATCCGCTTGCGATTTTGTTCCTTCTTTTGCTCTGATCATGTGCCGGATTCCTGGAGTTCGCAGATCTGTGGATTGATTAAAGAGGACAATAGAAAAAACAGATAATCAATTAAAACGCAATGGCAAACTGATCGACCGCAACAGAAAGAATTCCGTTGATCTAGGGAGTTCGAAATATGGCACAGTAGCAGATAATGTAAGTATTTGCCAAGTCAATGTCCTTAAAATCGAGGCACCAAATATTATTAACATTAAGTGGCTGCCTCGCATCTGAGATGTGGGTATGCACGGGTTATAATCCGAATGTCAGGATTAGTACATCTCCAGGGACTGCATAATGTTCTGCCGAGAGCCAGCCGAAGTCATATAGCCTGAGCGCTAATCGATGCCAAAGGTAAGCACACTGTCTTAAGTGAAGATTGCAGGCAACGAGAGTGATTTATGTTTTCGAAACACTTTGAACCGCGGCTGCAGGTTTTGCGATGAGATATGCCACTGTGACGGCACAGTCAGATGCCCTAGGTGGGCTTCTACCCACCCATTCTGGAGTCTATTTATCATAAATTGAGGCAAAGGTTCGCATCCCAGGTATGTGCATAGATTGAGAAGAA